GCTTATGTCGTTGAATGCTATCATTTTATCGTTTAATAGCGAGAAGATGGAATACACAAGTAAACGTTAATCAGTTAGGCGATAGACAACAAATGCACGCCATTTATCAGCAAACGGCGATTTTTCCATCGAGATTTACGTTATTCAGTTGGTACAGCGTTGGACTCTTAGCTGAGAAGTTTTGGGTTCGAGTTCCTGTTAGATCAGTCACTTTTTTCATCCTTTTAAGGTAGGTAGATGAGTATGGCTTGTTGAGAATGGGAAGGAAACAATGCATTCATTACTGATCACCTAGTTGTAGATATTGCTTGAAAAACAACTATAGTGCACTAATAACTAATGCATACAAACTAAGATTAGTGACACACTACGAACTCAGTTAAAGAAAGGCGCCACAAATAGCGTTTACCCATGAAAATATAAGTGAGACTGATATCTGAGTGGTCGCATGCCTTCCATTTGTAATCTTGATGACACCAAAGCAGATATGACTACTTTACACCTCACTTCCTACGTTCTGATAGTATCGTATATACGAACCATTTTCGATCTCACACGGGCGCATAAAGGGATATTAATTGCCGTGTGCTAGATTTCAATCTACTCGCTATGTCGTCATCGATGCATCGTCCAGTTGCTTTAACTGTTGAAGCAAACGTACACTTTTGCCTTTGCCTGAAAGCTTCATTGAATGAAGCTGAAAGGAATACCCACAATTTCCAGACATTTTATGTTTTATTTCTTCGCATGGTCAATAAAATCTGATTGTTAAAAAATATTGCTTTTACTTTGTCATTGATTGTAACAAATTGACAACAGTCGTGGATTCTGTTTTGTCATACTTCGTTGTGTTGAGTGATGCGAGAGTTTGCGACGTGAGACCCAGTCTTACGCTCGTTGGCCTCACTCGATTTGCCATTTCAACAACGATAATTTTTTTACTTCTTTCCGGTTGGCATACAGGGACTGCTTTAGTGATATTGTCGATGAACGCCACTTTTCAACATACCAGAGGGAATCATATCACAGAAAGAGACAAAAACACTGAGCACTATATAACAGGGCATTACAGTAAACGAATCAAGTGTAATGACAGTTTTAACCAATCTAAACGAATGAAACGTTTCTACCGTAATCGTGCTTTCCATGCCAGTTGAAAGCTGTACTACTACTGTTAGGACAATTAAGAGGCACATCTCGTTAAAGATTGGTTTGATTGTTTTTTCGAGAAACTTAATGCCATAGAACGCCACTTAAACAGTCCACGTTTCATGATATGTTATTGACAGCGCACAGATGCAATAAGTAATAAACTATCTTTCTTTTCGCCTCCCCGTAGAATTTCGGCAGTTTCACTGGCAAGGTAAACAAGTAATCTGTTTTACTCAGGTCTTCCAGGAACCGTGTCAGGTTCACATTCCAGTAGAGACAGCATAAAAATGTGTTGGGCTTTGCTTTTTCTGCTGATACTGACAGTTTCAAAGGGTCGTTGCGAGAAGCGAAAAGATTGTCTTTCTGTTTCGTCACAACGTAATAGTCGACAACTTGTTTCGAATTTTTGAATGTAAACGTTGCATAGAAAAACATACTATTTGCTGCTAAATCGAAAACTGAAGCAAGCTGTCGAGATGCTAGCAAAACATGAGCTATCGTTTAATGCGTTAAAAAATTATCGCTTGTTCTACAGCTATAAATCTTAGATCAGATTAGATTGAATAAGCTATAATAGGCAATGCGCGACGACCCCTTTTTTCAACAATGTATGTACGCATTTTCTCAAGCGCGATACAATAAAGTGAATCATTTTCTGGATGACTCACGCTTCCCCACAATTCCTCTGAATCACTATTCTTCTGCGGGTGTTTGTCCAGTTGGCAGCAAATTAAAGAAACTAATTTGGGTATAGTTATCTATGGGACTGGCATGTAACACTTTTAAAACGTTGAAAATGTTCTTGTCCCGAAAATTGCCCTCTTGATTAAAACGGAATATTTTCCATCAGTATGCGGTTCCGTTGCTAACCTATGGTTGCGAAACTTGGACCCTGAGTCTGAGAGCTATTCATAAACTGCATCGTCAGCTACATGCTGAAAATAATAAGAGAAAGATAGGAAGACAAATGAATAAATATAAGAGCAACGACGCGAGTCTATGATGTAACTGTAATGTTAAAGATGTTGAAGTGGTACTTTACCAGAAGAGCCGATTATCGCTGAACCAGACAGTCGATGGATTGTCCTCCGAGAGGTAAAGAGAACGGCCGTTAGGAAGACTTACAGATCGATGACAGGAAGAGGCGAAGAAGTTAATTGGATCAAGATGGATAAGAATCACGGGCAGCAGGTTTATGGCAAAGTTTTGGGAGGCCTTCGTCCAGCAGTGAATCGACAAAGGCGGACTATGTAAAGAAATATCATCAGCAGGAGATAAACGTGTAACAATGTGGCGATCGTCTATGTGGCATAGGTGCGATTGGTCATTTAAGCTAATAAACCATTTCGCATGAACTGACCTAACGTTCGGTATGAGATAGTTCAGTTGATCAATGGTCGGCTAGACATTGGCTGATATCCCGTTCAGGACTAGTAGCCAGCTTTCCTTCCTTGCCCAGGTAGATAAATGATTGTCAATATATGGAGGGACGACAGTAAACTACGCTGTAGTGACCATCAATCTGTAGCTGTTGATTTTAAAACAATAGGAGAATCTGATACTCACGGTTGAAGGCATTTGACGAGGATCAGTGCCGAGTAACAGCTCCTAGAAAAAGTTAATTATAAATATCACCCATCACGGAAGTACACACGTGATGGTAATGCAGACTGATTCATACTTTTTTCCTGCATTTAACTAATATGCAGAAAGGCAGAAAGTGACAGGCTTGCCATAGGATTTCCGCTTTGGTCTCCATAGCTTGATCAATACCGACTGGGTAGCTGCGACACCGTATACACTCGGGAAACTTATATTTTGCTTAAAGCATGATTAATTTTTGCATGTAATTCAGTTTTTGACCGTTTTCGCCCAGTGTTAGCAGACAGGAGACATTCTTGTCGACATCGCTCGTTTTGGCTTAATGGTAATGCATATGATCAGCATTCAGACCTTGCTGTGTTTGAATATTCGCTACGTCCTCAAATATGGGGTTATAACCGTTATTCTTCGTTCTTATCGTTGCCTTTCCTGTACCCACTAATGTCCACATGCTTTTTATATAATTCTCTGCCATTGAGAATCAAACTGCAGTGGGTACCCAGTGACTCTTGTGACATTTTATCTGTTTCATTTATTTTTCGGTAAAAATTTGCGGTTCTCTCAAATGCTTGTTTCTGTCTACATTCCTTCCTTACTGTGTACGAATCATGTTTTTTTTGGGTAGCGGAATGACGCATAGTTATCTTATGTCTTTGTCATCACAGACAACCAAAGCAACAAACACCCATATATGCAGGCATACAAGTTGAAGGTATTTTGTAGGCGTTAGCTGCCTTTTAATGCTAATTACTTACGCATTGGTGATTCATGCAACTATCGCCAGATCGCGTGCAGTTTGATTAAAAGCAGTTTTTTTGAAACATGAGGTTTTAATAAGACACCCGAGCTTCATTTCACTAGCCTTGCTCTATAACGGTTGCCTCATTTTCTTCGAATTTATCAAAAAAACTTTTAAACACTGAAGGTGCATATTCGATTCATGTACACTTCTATGTTACCGTTCACGAAATAAGTCCGATTTACTTTCGTTATGATGAGAATAATAAATTACATAGTTTCTTAACGTTATATTTTGGTAGTGTAGGAGAGAAGCAGCGATGTTGCCAAGCAATAACAGCAACGACTGTACACACATGAGCTATTTTGTTGGTTTGTTTGTACGTTCTTTTTTGCATTGGAGTTGCATAAAGTGAGATCTTCTGTTACATGTGCCGTACAGCTGACAGCTTTTTAGTTTTCTTGACAGCTCAGACGACAGTTGTAGTCCAAACATCGCAAGGTCTGATCCCTACTGACAGTATGACGGTCCTTTAATCGTTCAGTCTGTTCTTGCCTCCTGCTCTTTCTAGCGAAATTGCGAAGGCTGCACCGATCGTTCGAATGATGCTTGCGGAATCATGACCTTTGTGCATTCATATTTGTTGTTTTTGTCTGTAGATCTGTCTCTTTGAGTCAGAATTATTGATGGGACGCCGCAAGCGCAGTCGTGGTCGTAAATAATGTCTGGGTCATTCCCGTTTCGTCCTTTCGAGGTAAGTGCCTGAATATCACAACTTACGAAGGAGGCAATGATTATTTAACTGTCAGTAATGCCTTGGAAAAGTATGCAACTCCTAGATGATGGCATTAAAAGCTTTGAGTCGAATGTCGCCTCTACATCATAAGTTCACAAACTCCGTCACAGGGGTGCCACAAATGATGGCAACTTTTCTTTTCCACTTCGTTTCACCCGAGCTGTTATAGGAAGATTGGTGACTGACGCACTGACGCCTCTTCACTTTGGTTAGTCGTTGATGGACAAAAGACGGTACTCCTCTACTTACCCAATCATTGGGATGAAGCGCAAAACTGCTTGTGCTTCCCACATTGTCATGTGTATGGCCTTGAACAAATAACGTATTTCTGGCTGATGGCTTCGCAAAAATCTCTAGATCGAAAGAAGAGTTAACAATGGCTGCCAGTCATGATAGTTTTCGTGAAATCGACATCCCACCTGTTCAGTACCTTCATTTTTCATTTTTAAAAATTTTCTTAGGTAGGGTAGGTACATTGGCGGTCCCCCTATGGGTTTATGGCCAAGGCTTTTCTTCGTCTTCCTCTGATATGTGGTTTACCTAAAAAACATGGTAACATATTTCGGTTCCTGTGGCTGTCCCTGCAGTTTAGTCTGCCTTTTCCTTGTTCATGACAAACCTTCGTTGTAGCATGTGATATTCTACTGTTGTTTTTCGCAACTCCGTGAAGGATTCCCAAAAGTGGTTCACTGCTGTAGAATAGCCAGCATCTTTTTTCATTAAAAGGATCTGACATAAGAATATGGCCTACTGTGCTAATTGGCCTAAGCGGAAGTCGAATCGAAAATCATATTCTTTATCTGCTGATCATTCCAATACTTTTTTGTTTGTTGTTATTTGGTTGGATAGTGAAGACATCAGTGATCTGTTCATGCGCATCGTTGACCCGTTCGTTATGTGATAAACTCACATCCGTGATGTTATGGCTATATTGTACGATGCTTACGGAAGGGCATGTAAAACAGCTACTACTGCTCAACTGGCCGGCCAACGACCCTACGGAAGATCACGAATAATCTGGGACAAATGTCTGTTTTTACTCTGCTCCAAATTCGACTTTTCCTGTGTCTAAGCTCAGGCGATGGAGCAGGTTAGGGAATGTTGGACACACTCCCAGACGCTGAGGCCTTTACGATCCGAAAAGATAGGCGGTCATCGAAACTGACTGACTGTTCATGCATGTTATTAACTAATGAGGTTGTCGGAAAATAGGCTGCTAATGGACATGAGGTCTTTATGCTAAGTTAACATTGTGGTCATCGTCTTTTTATGAGCAGTTGAAGCGCAGTCCTCTCACAGTGCTTGATGACTCAGTAAATATAATTAATGGCAGTTAATTGGCGTGAGAATGGAGGACTTATCGCATGCACAAAAAATGGCCTCCTTGATACCGTTGAGAGACTAATTCAAATTTTCTGGCCATTGACTAATTGCTTTATCTGATATCGGTGGTGCGTATATCTCAATGGTTTATTACGAGGTCAAGAGGTTAAACGACAACGATTCGTTGTAGCTTGGTCCACGGGGCCACTGCTAACATGTTAAAATAAATAGCATTTTTGATAGACAATAAAAATAGTGCATGTAATTAATGTTTTGTTTTGTTCGCATAATTTTCACTTACTGATATTTGCATTCTACACGGATGAGTAACCGTTAAAATGTCAGATTATCCTAAAATAATGTCACTTTTGACTTCTTTCACGGAGATTTTTTATGCGATGTTCATGAGTGCCTATTTCTCAAGGCAGTGCCTATAGCCCATTGCATGTTATGGCATATAGCGTGTTGGCACAGTGTTTGAGAGGTCTGATCTTAGGTTTCCTGTTCGATTCCGCTCAAGGGCATTCTTTGTCTTATTCACGAATTCCCGGGAGCAAGGAATTTGCAACATGTTGCTTCAGATCGGGGTTGCTCATTCAGTAGAGCGTCGAACTCAGAGCCGGTAGGTCCGGAGTTGAAGATCCGGACGAGGTTATACTCTTCTTTCCAGGGTCGATAAAGGAGTACAACTGTGTTGAAATAAAACAGAAAACTTGCCACATGGCTTTGGACTTTGCGTTAAAATAGAAGACACTCCTGGTAAATGGCGTAGAAACGGAGATATGCGTGCATAGTCAAAATTCATGGAAAGGAAGGCGTCAAAATGACCCTAACATGAAAGTGAAGGAGGATCGACATTCCAGTGGTAAGAAACTTTCGTTTCTTTCCTATGGCATGTTGTCTCTTGCTTCATTCCCATTAGCTTTTCTTGAAGGCGAATCCATTGCGGCTTGTGTACTCTTTGACCCGCCTGTTTTAGCATTTAGGACTATTCTGTTAAAAGCTGAAGTCGTGTTCAGTTTATTTACCAGATTTCTTTGCTTTGTAATGTGAACTTACTTCTAGTCTAAACAGTTGACTTGCAGTTTCTGTTTAAATTCCTTCAAATGATTTCTTATATTGATAACAGTGAAGATTCCTCTTCGTTGCTGATAAATGCTTTTTCCCTAGATCACCGATAGAAGTCCAGTATAGTTTAATCTGACTCCTTCTCCCTGGTTGACGATGATGTTTATACCCTGTTCGTTTGCGTAGTGACGTTCTATGCATTTTCGTCAAGAAACGTATTCCCTGCAGTCGCAACGCTATTCACGCAGGCTTTGCGAGTATGCAGCAGAAGTTGTCAATAGTAGAACGCGTCCTACTTTTCTGCTCCACTCCGATGAGGAAAGGGGGGGGGGAGTGGGCGTTGTGACCAAGGGCTCTGTGCAGATGTTAGAAGTTCTTTTACGATGACTAAAAGAAGTATAAACATAATTATTACGTTTGTATAATATTGCCGCCAGTTTGTTCAAGAGATAAATAATAGCTTTTGTAGATTTGTGAATTAGAAGGTACATCATAAGA